ATGGAGGGATATGATGGTTATTCGTGAGTATAGTACTCATGCTTGTTTTCTTTGGCCTTATGCTTGTGCTTGATTTTGTGGGCTTTATGATCGTGCTTGTTTTCGTGGCTTTGAGCTATGCTTGGTTACTTACCCTTGTGGACTGCTTATTCATGCTTGTTGGTTATTTATCCTCATGGACTATATGTCCACACTTATTAATCATTCTAATCAAGTCATACTAAAGAGTTTTGAAGTTTATTTTTTTTAAATTGATCTCCTAAAACAAACTATTATTTTACCATATATGGAACTGTTTTGTTTTGTTTTATCTTATCTTAGCTTCATAATTCTCAAAGTGTTTAAGCATATGTTGAAGCTAACAATAGAACTTGAGTTTCTAATAATTTCTATTTGAGTTCATATATTCCTTGTCTTTATGTTTACATAACTGATGATATATGAGGTATGTGGTTACATTGTTTCAATTGACTATGTTATTAAGTTTATAATGAACTTATTGATATATTTTTCATTATTTACTTCAACTTTAAATTGGAACGTTATTCACTAAAAAGTTACTTTTGATCTCAGATTCATTTGATGATGCTGAATCACTTGCTGACTTCTGAGGGCTTTACAACTAAGCCAGGTGGAGATTTAATTGACATTATTTTCTTTTGATATAATTATAGAACTTATGTCTTAAACTTTGAAAGTATCGTTAGGTACTCCATAAAGGCTATAGTTAGAGTACTATTGTTGTTATATACTTTGTCTGTTGGTTGAAAAGAGTAAAGCTCTAGGTTGTTGTGGTATTTTGTCTAAAATGGTATTGTAGAATTTTTTGAAAAGTTTTAATTACAGAGAACATGCTGCTGAAATTTCAAGCTTGACATATAATTTTTGAGGCATGACATATAATTAATTACACAAAAAATCATTATAAACTTAATAGTAGGGACAAAGTTTATAAATTAAAATACCCAATTGCAAGGTTTAAATCATAAGGATAAAATTGAAAATTCTGTAACGCTTTAATTTGAATAATGCCACAAACTGTAAAATAAAATAATAAGTTGGGTTCACATGACCAAAAACGTCAGATTTTCACATTCATTGTTGACCTTGATAGTTGTGTTCACATGACCAAAACGTCAGATTTTCACATTCATTGTTGACCTTGAGTACATCACGTGCAGGAATTAATGGGGGAGAGATTTAGTTTTTTTGTCGTGTCGTGGGATGTCACTTTCTTTTTTTCGATAACAGTCAAAGTGCGTGAGTCAAAAAGGTTAAAACTTAAAGTGAGAAAAATTAATGTAGCAATTAGAAGTGCGCACGGCCGTCCAAATAATTGAACTGGGATGTCATGTCATAACGTGTTGCACGATGAGTTGTAAATACTCAAGGAAAATATCAGTCATGGAGGACTGCAGAAATTTATATGTTGAATTGTTGTTATGAAAGTTCAATTGTTGTCATTTGCGTAGGTCATGGAAATGAATATTGTATCCAATTCTGTTGGGTAATTATCATTATCGAGATTATCTATTTTGCTTCCGTTTGTTTAATCAATTTAATCTTGTTGTTTTGAGCTGATATTTTTAGAAAAGTGATTTTAACAGAATCTTATTTTCAAAGAGTTATCTTTTGTTGTGTTTTCTTATAATCATGGATTAGCATATTCTATCATGGTAATGATTAATTAGAAACATTAACTTTAATTACCCCAGTAAAGTGTTTTAATTAATGGGTTAATTATGTAGGCATTACAAAGATGATGTCCTATTGGGCATTGGTCATTTTAGTTATCGTTAGAAGAAAAAAAAAGTAATTATCACTTTAATTAAAATAATCATTATTATTTACAACACCTGAATTTGACATAGAAACGTAAAAATAATAAATTTGAAAAGACAACTTGCAAATTTTACAACAAAGAAATCAATAATTAATAACTCTGGAGGCTTGAACCATGGCTTGCTAATTTTTTTTTTTTCCAAAGACTCATGATTAAATCAATTGTGCAACGATCTAACAAGCACCATAGTTTGGTTTAATTAATCATCAGACCCTGAACCACATTTCTCATAAGCAGCGATCCCCATGCTTGGGGTACATTTGGATTAACGTTAATATGTGTGTAATCTCTTTATACTTTATTTTATATAAATGTTGTACTCACTCCATCCCAAATTATAAGACACTTTGGGAAAATTTGATGTTCCAAAATATAAGAAACTTTGTACCAAAATAAGGTTTCATTAATGATACTTTTTTAATATTAACCTTCCAATTTATTCTCTCTCTTTAACATTTCTTTCGCAAATGGAATATTAAATGAATGACATTTTTAAAAGTTTATATTTTTATTTTAAAAAAGTAAGATTATAAAGTATATTTAATAAACTTTATTAATATGTGTGATTTTACCTAAAAGTGCCTTGTAATTTGAGATAGAAGGAGTATATGTTATAGATAAAGAATACCCTTCTCTATTAACATAGACAATCCCTACCAAGTTACAAATGACAAAAACATAAACTCTCCCAAATGTAACCATATGTTTAAGTAGGTAGAGTGCTTGCACTACTAATGCTAAGGTATTAAAAATCGAATCAATTCATTAGTTTGCATATTAGACAACCTATTTTGGTCTAGTTTTCAATACCATGGTTAACACTAACTTAAGGGTATTGTTTTATAGGTAGAAAATCACACCTAAAGTTCTTAGAATGGAAAAAATTACACTTAAGACTCAATATATATATATATATATATATAATTACTTACATCTCTAGATTTTACAAAAAATCGTCAGAACTTTAATAGTAGGGACAAAAATAACAAAGGGCTTATATGAATTAAAAGATCCAATTGCAGAGTTTAAATCATAAGGGTCAAATTGAAAATTCGGGAAAGAGCTTTCAATAATGTCACAAACTGTAAACAGTACAGTCTAATTAGGTTTAAAAATAAATTAATAACTTGGGTCCCATGACCAAAAACTTCAGATTTTCACATTTATTGCTGACCTTGAGCACTAAATATGTCATGTTGCGTTAGCTATATTTTAAAGTTATGTCAATTTTCAAAAAAAAAAAGGGGGGGGGGAGGGGTTTGGTTTTTTGTTGTGTAGAGGGATGTCACACCATAACGTGTTGCACGATGCGTTTATACTTACTAATTCTTATCTAATTAAATAAAGATGATCAGTCATTCTTTTTTTTTTCCCTGATAAAAGATGACGAGTCATTTTTATTATATTTAGCGTTGTGCTTTAAATAGAATTAACTATCAGTGAGCAATACAAAAAAAAAGGCTAAAAAATTATTTTATTTTTATTTTTTGTAAAAAATGTTATCTTTTTGTTTAACATATTAAAATTTTAATATATTAAAATAGCAATGAACTATGCCACGCCATATTTTGGTTTAATTAATCCTCAGACCCTCAACCACATTTCTCCTAAGCAGCTCTACATACTTGGGGCTACATTTGGATTAAAGTTAATATATGTGTGTAATCTCTTTATATTTTACATAATTTTTTTTTTGTTGTGAATAAAGAATATACCCTTCTCTAATAGCACAGACCATCTCTATCAAGTTGCTAATAACAAAGAGTAAACCCTCCTAAATTTAACCATCTATTTAAGTAGGTAGAATGCTTGAACTGTTAATACCAAGGTACTGAAAATTAGATCGGCTAGATGACCAATTCACTGGTCAGACCATGGTTAACATTAACTTAAGGGTGTGTAATACATTCTAAATTGTTTCTATAGGTCTTAAAGTCCCAAATACAAATATGTTTCTTCGTGAAAAGATATATTTGCTCCAAATGTACGAGTTTCCCAATTTTATATATACAACATAATGTATGTAAAGAATATGACAAGATCCATACGTGAACAACACAATCTAGTCTTCTCGGTCATGTTACTAATGACAAAGACTGTGGACCATCCGGATTTAGATGGCCCAAATTTTAAGGTTTTATTTTATATTTATTATAAATTATAAAATTTTAATAAACCTATTTGATGTAGAATGGAAAAGGAGAAGGGGAAAGAGAATATAGAAAAGAGAGAAAGGAGTAGTAGAGAGAATAGAGAGAAGAGAAAACTTAGAGGAGAGATAAGATAATAGAATTTTTATTTAATCAAATATGTGTACAAATTAAATGAACTCAAGCGTTATTTGTAGGCCTCAACTTTAACCCTAGAATTAAATTCAATAAAATTTTAAAATCCTAAAATTAAATGAAAATATAATAATAATCTAAATATTATGACAATTAAAAAAAATATTCATAATCAATAAAATATCATAATATATTCAATCTTCCAATCTTCTCAAATCTTTAACATATTTAATTACTTCTTTTTTTCCCATCACTATCTTATCATCAATTTGGAGTTTGGACAATACAAATTTAATTTGAATGATCTAATTTAATATTAATTTTTTTATAATTTTTATAAATTAACTATCTAAATATACTCTGGATAATCTAGATTTAATATAAAAAAATTTTAAAATTTTTATTTTAGTAAATATAATATTAAAAAATTATAAAAATATTTAATATTAAATAATTAAAAAAGTTGCAACTTGAAAATCTAGATTGTCTAGAGTACATTTAAATAATCAATTTATAAAAATTATAAAAACATCTAATATTAAAATGAGTCATTCAGATTAAATCTACATTATCTAGATTGATGATAGAATAGATTTATTATTATTTTTAATTTTTATTTTTATAAATATAAAATAAAAGAGAAAAATAAAACCTGTAAATCTGGACCATACTCCAGACCATATTGCTCCTTATGTGATGAGCACCACCGCATCTAGACCCAAAGCCACTTAAATCTAACCATCTGTTTACGTAGGTAGAGTGCTTGCACTGTTTAATTTAAGGGTGCTATTTTCTAACTTTATCACAAGCCATTTCGCCTATAAATATGCCTTGAGGGGAAGCTAAGTCACCAGCACAATCATCTGGCCATCTTTATTTTCCAATTAGAACACTCTACCTCCAAAAGTGCTGCTTGTTGGAAATACCATGGGTTCCCAAGAATCAACACATTCCATGCCTCCTTTATCCGAAACCATCAAACAAGTCCTTAATTCGTGTCATTATGATGAGTTTGGTAACACAACTGACCCAAGCCTCAATGTGGAGGCTCTGTTCATGGTTGTCTCTAACATCATGGAAGCCTCACTTAAGGTCTCAGATCCAAACATAAAGGTGCGCGCGCCTGTGTGTATATCCTTTATGAGCTGTTGTCTTTTCCAGTACTTATAAAGGCAAATAACCAAATATTTTTTGATTAATTTTATGCATAGTAGAGAATTTCAAATCAACCCGTTTAGTTGAACCAGTCCGTTAAACTAGCATCTTGACTAGTTTAATGAAATACTTTGTTTATGATTGATTTGATCATAGTTTGCTTACGATTATGAATTTTGATCATTAACTCTTGAGTTAGTATTTTGACCAGTTCAATTATTGATCCGGTTTGCAGCACCTTGATTTTTTATATGTCATTTCTTTGTTGTTTACATACTGCAGCTTGTTAATGTTAACAAGGAGGCCAAGTCAAGTCTTCCCGGTTTCAAGTCACCCATAGAACGGCTTCAGAAAATTGCGTGTCAGGTTATATATTGTTCTATTGTAAACATAAATATATATATAACTTGTAAGTAATATTAACTTTGTCTTAAATTTATTTTTGTTGATACACACACAGATGAGGAGTACAGTTGTTGATAAGGACTATTTGCATGCACAAGAAACAGCAAAGGGGATAATCACAGATCTGAAGGAATATCCATGGCATGCAAGAGCAGTGATGGCACTCGCAGCATTTGCTTTAGATTATGGGAACTTCCATCTTCTTTCTCAGGTTAAATTTGGCGACCATCTTGGAACATCCTTGGCTGCCTTGAATGATATTCCAGCCAACATTGTCATTGACGATGGACCCTTGAAGGAAACCATTTCCAAATACAACTGTCTGGTGAGGGACGTTTTCTTAACCGTCCAATGTTTGGTTAAGTTGATGGGAATGTTGCAGCGAGAAGTTTATGCTGAATTTGAGGACATGAATCTCATTTTGGAGAATGCTAGGCACGATTTCCCTGAACTTGTTTATTGTGCTGTCTTTGCCACTGTTGTTTGCAGCAGTTCTTTTCACATTGGCACTTATAGTCGGTAAGGTCATCATACTCTATTATGTTTTGATACCATGTGTGAACATTGTATTTTGATACCAGCTGTAAATTAGAAATAAAGAGCCCAATAAAATTAAGTAAGTTAGATAAATAAAATAAACAAGGGAGGAAAATAAGGTTTTATGAAGAACAATTTAAAAAATAAAATGATATCTTCATAATTTAAAAGAAATCTTTTTTTCCTTTTTCATTGACTCTCAAACCCTCTCATTTTTATTGCTATCAAATTGAATGCCTTTAATGTAAATTTAAAGTCTGAAATGATGAAGAAAAGTTAAAAGAACTTGCCTAATATGCTTAATCCTATCATTAAGAAAAAATAAATCTTAGTTGGTGCCTATAAAAGAGATACCAGAGAAAAAGAGAAGTGACAGAAAAAAATTGAGAGAAAAATTGGAAGGGAGACAGAAAAAAGTGTAGGAGAAAGATTGAGGTCAAACAATGAAACTGCAAAGGTATGGAGATTATTTTCAAGCTTTTTATTTTCATTTATGGGATCATGATAGAAAGTAAAGCATGATAGTCTATCAATATTGTATACCTTTCACGCTGTGCAGCCTATGAAGCTATGGATTACCTTCGAAGTCTAACCAATAGAGTAGTGCTCTTTGTTTTGTTGGTGTTGAAAATTGGAATGCCACTGTTTGTGTTAATCTTTCTTTTTTATTCTTTTTTTGTTTACTTTGTTTTGTCCTATTTGTTTCTAGCATTTGCGTTGAATGGCACGATTTGTGTTAATGTTTTAAGTCTTTTGTTTGTCTGTTTTGTTTGTTTCGTTTTGTATTTACCTGTTTCTTTTCCCTTTCTCTTCGTCTTTCAATTATACCTTTGTGGTCATATGAGTGTGAATCCATTTCAGTCATGATGATTAGATGTGAATAGGTGGAATTAATATGTTCTCATAATCAATCCAGTTTCAAAAAATATATTTGAAGGTAAAAAAAATCATTTGAAAAAATATATATGGATTAATTTCCATTAGCTCTTGTGAACAATGAGTAATACTAAATCACCATAGACTCCTAAAAATATCAAATGAGTTATTGTGAATGACACTAAGTCATCGCAGGTATCTAATTTTGTATTTAAGATCTCAAAACTAAATTATTTTATAAAAAATTCACTTTGAAAATTCCTTTAGGGTTTGCCATTAGTGATATTAAATTACCTTGTGCACTTAGAACATCAACTAGTGAACTGTAAGTGATACTAAATCACTGTTAATTTTAATATTGGTTAAATCTCTACTCTTCTGCATTATAAAAAATAATCAAAATAACAAATTTTTTAATATATTTTAAGTTATATCATGAGTGACACTAAATTACTGTTGATCTTTAAAATATCAAATGAAATACTGTGAATGACATTAGGTTATCATAAGTATCAAATTTTTATTTTTAAAATTTTGTGGTTAAATTATTTTATAAAAAAATTTACTTTGAAAATTTCTTTAAGGTATGCCATGAGTGATATTAAATTACTGCATATATTTAGAGTGTCAACCAGCGAATTGTGAGTAAAACTAAATCACTACAAGTTCCAGTATTAGTCATTTTCTTCTTACCCAAAGGTATTTTCAAGGAACAAATTTTTATTAAAAAATAATAAATAAAAGAAGTCCTCCCATGTAAATAAATAATTTTTTATATCTTTATTTTGCATGTTATTAAAGGGTAATTAAGATATTATTAAAAGGCCACTTAACTTTATGTAATTAACTTAGGATAACCATTCTTATGAGTGAGTATTGTGGGGTGCTTAACATCTTTTCATACATAATCAACTCCCGAACTATTTTAATAAAGCATCCTGTTTCATTATATAATTTTCCAAGGCTTTTTAAGAACGTTAGTGATAACTCTCATTTCTTTTTTTTACATTTACCAACCTTCCTTCATCGAGAAAGTCACGATCCAGGCGTGGCATCATGTTAATGTTCACATGTGATTGTACTTTAACCTGGCCTGTCCAATATAAATAAATATAATTATGCTAGTCTTTTTTTTTTCCCTCCTTTATTCAAATGCAAGACTTCAAGATATAAGAGGTAGTTGAAGGATTTTTTTGGGTCTAAATGTAAGACCCAGGTCTCCTTTGTTCTCAAACTACCTTAAAAAGATTAGTTTTTAAGGAGGGGTATTTTAAGGAAAACCAATACATGCATGTTTTAATAAATAACTAAAAAAATATCCTTATAATCTATATGAATGAGTTATGTATTTAACTATTATATTTAGTACCGGAGAAAATTTTCCTTGGTATATATAGTCATCACAATTTCTAATTGCAAGCTGTTTTGCTTCAGGGTCAGCAACAACACACCATCCTTCATTAGCGGAAAGATTTCCCATGTTCTTGCCAAATTACAGGATTACCTGGAGCAGATAGAAGAGAAGAAAGGTTACAAGCTTATATACTAATTCTAATTCCTGCTCCAGTAGTATTATTTACATCACCAGAATTAAGAAAAAATTTTAAATTGATCATTAATTTTGTCTAAAAATTTAATAAATTTCTAACTTTGCCCCTATTAAATATATATATTTTAATATTATATTTTTCTTTCACAAAAATTTAATGGAGGGCTAAGAAAGAAATTTGTGACATAAACTTTCCCCACTTTTTGAATAGAACCATAGAGAGTATATGTACATATATACACTCATGTACACACACAACTATATATATTACCAATAAATAAATTACTACTAAAATATAAGAGCAAAAAATGGTGTCATTGCAGGTGAGATAGATGATTATTTAAAACGTCTACGTGAGGCATTCCAAACTCCTACAGGAATTTTAGGAGTTTTGAAAAATCTGTTATTCCCCAGAGATACGAAGAAGCACTACGTGTATTTCGGCTCCACGAAATCAAGGGTTAGAACTTCGAATTATATATAGGATTCCCCAGAGTTTTCTTGTAGCCTTCTTCCTCTCTCTGCATTCTACCTCTCCCTCTCTTGTTCCCCCTATTGTTCTGTTCTTCATTCTCATTTCTCCCTCTCTGTTTCTATTTCTCCCTACTCTCTCCCTTTGTTCAGATCTGTGCAAATGTGTGTGTCTTACATCAATAAGACTTTCTATTACCTTTCTACTGAAGTTAAATGGTATTTATGTGCTAATAATATGTTAAAAATACTTAAATTGCTTATCTTCTGGTTGCGGTGAAAACATTTTTCAAAATGCCTTTATTAACATTCAGCTAGACAGCAAGCAATGAACTTTTCAAATCAACTGGTTGATTTGTATGAATCCAGATACCTTACATGGCGCTTAACTCATAAGCGTTAAACTTTTTTTTTCCCCATCTGTGTTTGGAATTCCTTTAACTTCTATCTTTGCTGGGAAATTTAAGCGTTAAACTTTTAGTCTAATTTTTGTTAGAGCAATATATGTGTGTGTGTGTGTGTGTGTGTGTATGAGATTAGTCATTACTTATCAGTTTTCCTTTTGGTTACAGGTGAACATCGATGACACGTTCAAGAACAAGTGTGTGTTGCTGTTCATTTCCGGACTGTTCGGCATCGAAGAGGAGATTAAGCTTTTGAAAGCAATCGAAGACTATTTGACATCAGATTCAAAATTCGAAAAATATGGGATGCGAAAGGATGACTTCAAGATCTTGTGGGTCCCAATGGTTTCTTCTTCTTCTTCAGACAGTGAGAAGATCAAGCAGAAACAATTCAACGATGTCGCAGAAAAACTTGTTAAATGGTCGTATGTGGTGGATTATTCCATTGTTGGAACTGCATGCAAGAAACTGATCAGACAGAAGCTGGGGTACATGAATAAGCCTATGGTTGTTGTGTTGAACCAACGAGGAAGAAGGACAAATAACGATGCTTTGCCCATGTTATCTGCATGGGGATGCCGTGCATTCCCATGGAGAACAGGTGATGATTTGATTCTTGTTCAGAATTGGAACTGGTTCTGGTCAATATTCAAGGAATTCAATCAACAACTAGCAATTTCGGTAAGTAGTTTTTTCACTTTAGTTATACCCTCCCTCCCTCCCTCCCATTCTATGAAGCATCAATATTTCAAAAATGTAAACATGGCCGTATATTACCTAATAATATGTATCTGATATGATACACATCTTATAGTTCATATCATACGTATCGCAAGTTAAAGGAAGAAATTAAAAAACAATAATTTTATCTTTTTGTTTGACACAGCTATTATAAGATAAGGTTTGTTATTATAAGTGAACGACATATAATAAGAACCATATTCCATCTTTTATAAAGCACATTATAAATAAGATCAAAGTAATATTTAAAAACCAAAAAACAATATTTTTTATTAATTGTTGAAAATATTTCTTAAAATTTTGAAATATGTATCATATATTTCCATACCTATATATTAAAATTTTGAAAATTTTCATATCAACACTACCATGCTATATCACATCACATTCCATACATGTACATGTATCGGTTCTTAAATTTTACACACACACACGCATGTGTATATAAGCTGCTATGTCTTCACTAAATTACCAACAAGTGACATGTTAATTGATATATATCAGAACGAGAAAGATTGCAACATTATCTTCGGATGCATGGACGACGTGGACGCCAACAACTACGACGGTAGCTGGTTGAACAAAATCAACGATGAGTTGGAGAAAATAAAAAAGGACAAGATCATAAGCTCAAGTGGTTTTGCTATAAAATTCCATCATCATGGCAAGCAGCTGGCTGAGAATGACTTCAAGTTTGCACATAAGCTTTGGGCTTTTGTAGAGAATGTGTTCGCCAGCTTGAAAAGTATGAAGACAATCAGCAAGGACGACTCCACCTTGGACCATCTCAAGGAATTCCTCAGCCTCCGGCGAGAAAAGTCCGGCTGGGTTATCATAAGCCGAGGGTCCAAGGTTAAAATGGTTGGCTCTGGTGAGAGCGTGTGCAAAACTCTCAACAAGTTCGAGTCCTGGAAACACAATATCACTCAACATGGCTTTGATGGGGCTTTTGTGGATTACTATTTCAATGAGTTTCCAACTCAATCAAGTTGTCTCTGTTTGGATCTAAAGACCTATGTTCCCTTAGAATGTGTGACATGCCAATCTGAGATGGAGATACAGGTAGTCAAATACGTGTGCTGTCATGGCAACCATAGCCATGCCAAATCAGTTCACAGCCTTGCATGAGTCCTTTAAGGAAACGTCGTCGTTTTCGCTGATGGACCTGATGCTCAGATTTATAGGAAGGAGGAGCTGTTGTCTTGAATTATGAGCTTGTTTATGAGTACTGTGTCTTTAGTAAAGCCTTTCTAGTTTCTATAGGGCTTATGATAATAATAAATCCTTCAGGCTATGAGTCTGTTTCATTATTGTATGTGTGTCAGTGTGTGGTTCTGGATTTGTGTTATTGATAATAAAATTCCTCCTTCGGTTTAAGTATCTTTTTTTATTTTATTTATCTGTATGTTTTAATAAAAAACGTTAATTTGAGTATGTAAATACCAAAAATTTTAAAATGTCCCTCCCAATAACATCTTAAAATAACGTTGTTCCGAATAAAGCTTATTTCCTTTTGCTGTTCCGAACTCGCTTGTTGTAACATACTGACAATATAATATAAATACGTGGGAGCGAAATTATAAATTACAGATGGATTAGTTTTAAACAATTAATGTTAAACATTGTTAGTAATACATGATTGTTTAATTATTGGATATGTGAAATTATAATTGCAAAAAGTTGCAATTATAGTTATAAATTATTGATAAAGTAATTATAAATTGGTTATTTGATTGAGTTAATGTATGTTTAATAGGGGTTTATTGTCTTTTCATCTTAGTTTCAAATTACACTCATGTCCTGAGGGACCTAGTTGTAATTTTTGAATTTCACAGTGTAACATCCCTAATTTTAGTCCTTGGGTTAGTAAGAAATTAATCAAGTTTATTGTAGTAATTGAGTGAGTTGATGTGATATGTGATTAGGGAGGTCTAATAATTGTGTTCGGTTGGTTTTTTAGCCTAAATTATGAGTTCGAAATGACGATGGTTCACCCCGGACATCAAAAGGAGAGGAAAAATGTGAAGGAATGCCTCTGTGCCATATACTGTGGCAGCAAGTTCGCTGTGGCACATAGATGGCAGTGAAGCAAGATGGACCTCTTTGTGCCATGATCCGCAAGTGCATGGCTAAAAACTCTATTAAACTGATCGCGAACAAACTAAAAATTGGAGAAGAGAAAAGGAATAAAATGAAGAACCAGTAGAAGCTTTACTAGGATTCACATTTGGTAGGTATTTGCAACATTTTGGAGGTAGTAATCACCTAAAGTAAGTATCCTATACTCTATTCCTCCCTTTTTCATTTTAATCGATTAGAGTTAGAGTTTGAGTTGGGATGATGATTTTTGATCCATATAGATTATGGGTCTGAACCCATTAACTCAAATGGAGTTAATAGAAGTTGATTAGAGTAGTTAAACCTAGAGATGATGAGTTTTGACATCTTTGGTTGCTAAATGTCATTAATATCCAAAAATGACATTAATGATGGTGGTTGGAAGAGTTTTAATGCCATCAATACAAGTTTAATGACTCATTAATAACATTGGGAGCTAGAGATAGCTAATAAACCCAATGAGTAAACCCAAACATGAAAAATATAGGCATCAATGAGAGTTGAAAATGTGCATTTGACATATTGATGAGTTAAGAATTTGATTGATTATAAATTGAGCATTTAGGCACCATTTTAGCTTGGAAATCAAGCTTGGAAGCTAAATATTGAAGGGTAAACCTTTGATCTCTCAAAGGTTTGAAGAAATAATCGAGGGAACCCTACTTTGAATAGTTATGTATTAATTGCAATGTAATGTGAAAGTATTTAGCATGTAAAATTGTGATTTGTGAATATGTGGAACATGCTATGAAATCATGTAATTGTATAATTGTTTTGATTTGAACTAAAGATGTAAAAGTAATTGCGAAAGGAATTTTAAAGTTTCATTGTGATAAAGTAATGACTAGTTGATGTTGGGTATAATAAAGAGGAATGTGTAAGACTGAAAATGATAGATATATGTGATAAATGTGAAAATAAATATTGATGCTCACTTGGTAGCACATTGTCATGAGCCCAATGTGTTATTGTCAAAAATGAAAATTGTATAAATAAATGAGCACCGTACATGGCATGATCAGCGGACGGGAGTTCACCTAGGGAAAGAAGTAGATAAAAATCCATATGGTATTTTCAGCTGCCTTCCGATGCACAAGGGTATACCCTTGTTCCATAGTTTGTTGAGAAATTAGAATTTAGCTATCTCTACTAGTTTATCGAGGAGATTAGCTTAGGGCATACGACATCTAGAGATTCAAGAGTGGGGAAAACCATGCTCCGAGAGTGAGTCATGTCATCTTTGGCTGGGTCGCACCTCACAATTGGTGAGTTCGGATAGTCTAACCACGTGGATGGAGCCATATTTAGTGTTACAGCTTATAGTTTCTATCGGAAGAAATAAAGAGGATATAAGGATGGTTGATCATGCCTGTGTGGTTATATGACGTATTGCATGATTAAGTTATGGCAAGTTATGTTAATATATCAGGTCATGGTCACATATCTAAGTGTTTTGTGATAATGTATCTTGTGTTTGAGATGAAAATGAGTTAACTGAGAAATGATAAGTTGTGAATTATGTGTTAATGTATGTTTTAAGAAAATCTATTTCATACCTATGTGTTTATTTTAATTGATATATAACTACACATGGTAGGCTTACCTTAGTTACTAAGTGGCTAGAATCATCCCTCATCTTTAATATTTTATAGACTTTAGCTCAGGTACAGAGAGCGAAAAAGCTCCAAAGGCTTAGGAGTCTTGGTATTCCTAGTCTAATCCTCTATGAATTGTTTATTTTGTATAATAGATTTTATATTGTCAATTTAAAATGTATTTTATTTACATTTGCACTATATGGTTGTCAATGATGATGTCTGGTTTGTATTTTGAGCCCTGAGATGTAGTTTATGATAAGTTATAAATGGTTATAAAGCCAAAATACTAGTACAAGTATAGTAAGGTTGTTTTAAGCATGATATGATTAATTTTTAATGAAATGCATTGCGAAAATCTCCTCCTTCTGTTTTTAGCATTAAAGGGATTGCAGAGTGAAATTGTGATATAATGTCGTATATGTGCTTGTGGTGTTTTTTACAAGTAATCCTAGGTTCAATTAATATATTTTAGGTGTTAGGAATGGCTTTTGACACTTGCGTAGGGTTTTGGACATCTTTTTTATTGTGAAAGTGGAGAAAAGTGGTAAAATTATGTTTGAGTGTTCAACTTTCTAGTGTGACTTGTTTGGAAAGTAAAACCTGTGCCATTAGCTAGTTTATAAAAAGAAGCTTTCTTTAGACACTTAGATCATATCATTCGAATGGTGAACGGAGAAATAGGGCACGTCAGAATTTTCTTGGATTTTGCTATCATCAAATGATATCAGAATTGCTGTCATGAGTATGCAACACACCGCGGCGCAGAGTGCATGAGCCACGACGCATTGTTTGTTTTTAGCATTTTGAGATTTTGCAACTATTTTCAACTATTTTCACTCTTTTGAGGTATTTCATGCTTACGTAATACTATTTTACTCTAACTAAAGGTCAAATGTATGCTTTTGACTTAATTTTAAATTATGAAAACTTAGGATCTTGTTATTTCAAATACAAACTTGGTAATCCTTTTTTTTTTTGAATAATCTCTTGATTACCATAGTTTATGGTTTCAATTATGATTGAATAAGGTGGATATTTCAAGCAGAATTTATTTGTGAATATGTTTGCACCATGGGACCTAATTTTCCCTATAAATAATTATAAAACTAGATAAGCATAATTTTTAGGAAAAATGACGGTTAGGCCCCACAACTTTGAATTAATAAAAGTTAAAAGTATTCAATAATTATTTTTGAAAAATTAGTTAAAAATATTGATTTAGATTATTACAAATCTAGGAGTTTCAATTATAAATAAGTATCTAACTATCAAATATAATTATTAAATTCAATATTTGTAACTACTTGAATTAATATTTACAATTTATTTTGTGAAAAAATTTGCTAGGGACCTAATTGTGTTTAATTCAATATTTTAAGACTTAATTGTCATTCTTCTTAATTTTTATATAGCAAGCTATGAAATTTAAAAGTGCAAATTTATTGAATCGAGACTTACAGCTCACTCATTATGTCCCTAAACTATTTCTCGAGAACTACCTAATATTTTTAGCAATTTTATCTTTAAAGTAATTAATGTAGAAACAATTCCCATCGTGTTAAGTCTTCCCAAATGTTGGTTAGTCAAGGTTGGTGGGATCCATTTTAAAACACGTGGCAATAAAGAGGCATATTTCTCTTTCTAATTTGGATTAATCCCCATGATGCGTGTTTCCTTCTATCCTTCTTAGATTTTTCTCATTGCTTCAAAATGGGTCGCACCAACCTCGACTAAGGGACGTTTAGGGAGACTTAACGTCTAGGGAATTTATCCTTTTTTAATTATTTTAAAGATAAAATTACTACAACAAAATATTTAAAATAGTAGGTATTCTTTAAAAAATAGTTTAAAAAAAAAAGACAAATTTGCACTTTCTTTACTACAATCGTGCATAAGTTGATATCAAACACATTAAGCAGGACATTGCAAATGTTTAATTAGTTTGTAAATGATATTCTGAATCTTAATTGAGTTGGGAATATCCAAAAGTTCAATTTTAAATAGGGTAAAAGAGAAAATTGATCCTTAAATTATAGGTCCAAAATATTTAAGACCCTAAACCTATTAAATATACAATATTCTTCTTCAATTTTTAAAAACAATATAATCTACCCCTATTTTTAACAATGATTAACTGTAAACGTTAGTTAATCAGAAAATTGCAGAAATGACCTCAAAAATTTTTAAAAAATTATGAATAAAATTTTCTTGATCTTTTACTATTTTTATTGGATCCTTGACTATAATTTTTTTGGCCATTTTATGTCATTTTTAAAGTCATTTTTATCATTTTCTAATAATCAACTAATTGTTAAAATTAACTTTTATTAATAATAGGAGTAAAAATTAATTTCAATCTATCATTCACCCTAAAATCTTCATTATATTAACTTTTATAAGAACAGTTAAGTCGTCAATTGTTTTAAATTAGAAATGAGTGAGCAATGAAATAGCAAATTAACCCCTAAACGATAAATCTAGAAATATCTGAAATTCTAAACTCATTAAATATGCAATATTCTACTTCAACTTTTAAAAATAGTGTAGTTTGACTCATACCAATAATAAAAGTTAGTTTTGACAATTAGTTGATAAGAAAATAATAAAAAATAACCT